AAAAAAAAAACAAAATGCTGAGAGTGGTGCTGTGCACCTATAGTCCCAGCTAATCAGGAAGCTGAGGCAGGAGAACCAATTCAGTGCAGGAATTTGAGGCTGCAGTGGCTATGATTGCACCACTGTACTCCAGCCTGGGTGACAGATAAAACCATCAAAAAAAAGAAAGAAAGAAAAAGAAAAATCCTGCCAGGAATGGTGGCTCACGCCTGTAATCTCAGCACTTTGGGACGCTGAAGCGGGCAGATCACCTGAGATCAGGAGTTCAAGACCAGCAGGGCCAACATGGTGAAACCCTGTCTCTACTAAAAATACAAAAATTAGCCAGGCATGGTAGGCGCCTGTAATCCCAGCTATTTGGGAGGCTGAGGCAAGAGAATTGCTTGAACCCAGGAGGCGCAAGTTGCAGTGAGCCAAGATCCCACCATTGCACTCCAGCCTGGGACAAGAATGAAACTCCCGTCTCAAAAAAGAAAAAAATTCCATTCCAGGCCAAGGTGCAGTAGCTCATGCCTGTAATCCCAGCACTTTGGGAGGCCGAGGTGGGTGGATCACCTGAGGTCAGGAATTCAAGACCAGCCTGGCCAACATGGCAAAACCTGATCTCTAATAAAAATACAAAAATTAGCCGGGCATGGTGATGCACGCCTGTAGTCCCAGCTACTGGAGGCTGAGGCAGAAGAATTCCTTGAACCTAGGAGGCAGAGGTTGCAGCAAGCCGAGATCGCACCACTGCACTCCAGAGCCTGGGCAACAGAGTGAAACTCTGTCTCAAAATAAATACATAAAAATAAAAAATAAATTCCAGATAGACCAAAGATCTAAAAGTAAAAATAAACAAATAAACATGTTGGCTGGGCATGGTGGCTCACACCTGTAATCCCAACACTGGGAGGCCAAAGCAGGAAGATTGCTTGAGCCCAAGAGTTCCAGACCAGCCTGGACAACAAGGCGAAACCCCATCTCTACAACAAATACAAAAATTAGCCAGCCTGGTGGTGCACGCCTGTAGTCCCTGGGAGGATCACTTGAGCCCAAGTGGCAGAGGTTGCAGAGAGCTGTAATCAGGTGGCTGCACTGCAGCCTGGGACACAGAGCAAGACTTTCTCAAAAACAAAACAAAAAGAGGCCTGATAATTCTGATTAACATAACATTCTTATTTTTCTGTATGCAAAGCAACCCATTAAAAAAAGTCCAGACAGGCCAGTTGGGTGGTGATTCAGGGCTGTAATCCCAACACTTTTCGAGGCCCAGGAGGGCAGACGACAAGGTCAGGAGATCAAGACCATCCTGGCTAACACGGTGAAACCCTATTCCTACTAAAACTATAAAAAATAAGGCCGGTGCGGTGGCTCAAGCCTGTAATCCCAGCACTTTGGGAGGCCAAGGCAGGTGGATCACGAGGTCAAGAGATCGAGACCATCCTGGTCAACATGGTGAAACCCCGTCTCTACTAAAAATACAAAAAATTAGCTGGGCATGGTGGCGCGTGCCTGTAATCCCAGCTACTCAGGAGGCTGAGGCAGGAGAATTGCCTGAACCCAGGAGGCAGAGGTTGCGGTGAACTGAGATTGCACCATTGCACTCCAGCCTGGGTAACAAGAACAAAACTCCATCTCAAAAAAAAAAAAGAGAAACAAGCACTTTACTGTTGGTGGGAGTATGAAATGTTCCACTCCTACTGAAAAATAACCTGGCATTATCTAATATAATAAAAAATACATATACTTCTTAACTAAACATTTCAATCCTGGATTGCTAAACTACAGAAATAAAACCTGGATTACATAAAAATATGTGTACAAGTAGATTAATGACAGTATTATCTATACTGCCAAAAAACTTTAGATAATCTGAATGTCCATTAACAGGAGGAATAACTGAATAATATGGTAGATCTATTTATTCTATGGAATATAAGGGAGTCACCAAAAATGATGAGTAAATCTGTAAGTATTGATCCCCATGGTATACTCTCAAATGAAAAAAAGCCAGGGTGCAAACATTGTGCAGTATGACACCATTTACTAAAAAAGAAAACTTTGTATATGGTTCAATGTTTTCATGTTTTAAATTAATAAAGTACTAGTATTAAGAAAGATGAGCAAAGACATTGCTGGTTTTTCCTCTGTAAACCTTTGACATTTTGCAAATTACAAGCTTTGCTTTTACAAAAAAAAAAGGAAAAATTCATTTTTTGGGGGATCTGTTTTATCTATGATACCCATATATGTGACCAAGGTCTCTGCAACTTACATGGGCCAAATAATGATTTAGGAACACAAAGAGGGCATCATATTAGGAATGAAGAACCAGAGACAAATGCATAAAAACCCAATAAACTAATTAAAAGAAAAATAAAAGGCCATTTTAAAACACAAATACAACTACTATTTCGTGAGAAAAAGGGGAAAGGCTGTTGTCCTGCCTTGGCTAAACATCTGAGTAGTTATTTGTCAGCACAGCTTTGCTGGTGAAGATGTCCGTCTATCAGACCCTTAATAACAAAAATTCCAATCAACAGGATCCTGACTCCTTTTTTTCACCTTTCATCTTAAGGTAGCATTTGGCTTTGTTACTATTTTCCAAAAAAAAGTTTCATTAAATGGATCAGTACTATATTTTATAGCATATCTGAATCAAAATGTATTTAGAAAGAGTATATTCGTAGAGCCTAAAATTGAGAAGTGTGTTTTCAATCACTTCAGAAACTCATTCATGCAACCCTCAATTACTCATCCTTAAAAGGGGGCGCCCTGCTAGGCAGTACTCAAAACCAAGCATGCCTGAAAACATATTAAACATAACTGAATGAAAATCTGCCCAATCACAGGCCAGCTGCTTGCAAACTCCACCCTAGAGTACGGGAAGAACACTTTTGATTGGAAGACAGTTGTGTTTACTACCGTGTGTGGTGCAAATTGGAAAGGTCCACATGCCCACGGTCCAAAGGAAATCTCTTTTAATGAGAAAGAAAAACAAAACGGCCCGTTCTCATACTACACTAGTCATTGTCATTAATAGAACCTCAACAAAACAGCAATTCTTGAACAATTTTGCAAGCTGATGAAAAAAATCTAAAGGCTCTGAGTTTTGGTCTGGCTGTTTTCTCATCTATGTCCCTGTATATATGTAAGACAAGCATAAACGTATTCCCAAAATACAAATCTGCCTTTGCCTCTATATTCACACAGCCCCAAGCAAGACCTCAACATAGTTGTAATGTTCTTTGCTTTAATTTCCAAGAATCACTGCAACTTTTTACTTGGTTTGAGAACCCAGTTCCATGGGCTCAGTGGTAAAATTATTTATTTAGCTTAGTGGGTGTCCAGCAAGGAAGTGAGCTTCAAAAACCTCTGCCCTTAGGGAGCACAGCAAACAACAAAGTGAATGGGGAGCCATTTCAGGTGCAGAGCTCATTAGCAATTCATCTGATGGAGGAAATGAGACGACCATTGTAAAAACCAGAAAATAAATCCCAATGAATAGCTAGGGCAAACTAGGCCTTAGGCCAAAGTATGCATATAACAGAGGATCTTAAGTATGTTTTGCCTCCAAGGGGTAGAGTGAATCTGAAATGGACACTTCTTTTCCCATCCCAGCGATCGTTTAAACAAAGTGCAGAGGACTAGAGATCCAAATCCCAATCTTAATCATCATTGCATCCCCTTATCTTTTTTCTATCATTTTGCAAATTTGCCCCACTGAGGCCTCATAAATGTCCTAGCAGCGTTTCTTATAGAGCAGGAAGAAAGATCAAAGCAAATGAACCCAAGCAGCAGAAGCAAAGCCTAAGCTATCCACAAGCCAAAAAAAAAAAAAATTTTTTTAAATCCATAAAGCTTGTATATTAGTAAAAAAGGACAATGTAACACTGTTAATAGGAAGAAAAATGAACATCAGAAACCTACAACATTACTTCCAAATCTCACAAATTGCGTTCTCGTTTATATCTGGAGAAACAAGTTCATTAAGAAAATTTGCTTTCTGCTTGCTGATCTATTACATTCCAAAAGAACGCCCCCCAACACGCACACACACACCATTTTTCATAGCCTTATCTCACCAGAGAAGCTAGGGCCCCTATCAAAATGAGGAAATAAAGTGGCTTGACAAAACTTAAACACTGTATTTTGCCGCCACATTAACGAGAATAACACATCATGATCGCGAAAGCTGGTTAAGTTGTATGACTGAACAACTTTAATCACAAAACACACCAAGGCAAGCATTCAAAAGGGGCCAAGCCCAAACACAAAGTTTCAAAACAAAACCTCTCCCAAGGTTGGGGGAGTAGCTGAGCTAGGAGCAAAAAGCACCACCCAGCAGCCCCGTTCGACTACTAAGAAAGATCTCAAACTTATCAAAAACAGCCACAACTGCAGCTCCTGTCACCCAGAAACGTAAGAGAGGAGAGCTTGAGACAGTGCCGAGAGCTGGCCTTTCTGGAGACCGCCAGGCCGAGCCCAGCTCAGACAAGGAGGAAGTAACTGCCAGATAAAAAAACCCCGAACAGCTCCAACTGCAGCCTCCGTGCCTCCCATAGCTGCCCACATTCCCGCCCCACTTGGGGCTCTGAGAGAAAAGGAACAGGGCGCAGGTCTCTTGGGAGAAGCTGGGGACCACAGGTCCGCGTCTTCGAGAGGGCAGTGGCAACTCTGAGGCTCCCGGGAGCTCCAGATTCGAGAGCCTGCTCCGAAGGCGTGTTGGGGGGAACGCCGAGAAAAGGGTCGCCCAGGAGGCGGGGCCTGCCGGCTGCAAGCAGCACCTCCTGGCGCCCTGGCCGCCCCCCGGGGGAAACCGGGGCGCACACCCCGACGCGGAAGCCATGCCGGCAAGAGCTTGGGGTGCCGAGGTGCCGGCGGGGGGCGCTAAGGAGATCTGGGGGGCACGGAAATAGGTCACCCCCATCCCACCGCCCCCTCACAAAGGCCCCCGGGGAGGCCGCCCGCAGGCCCCACAGCCCCGGCCTCGAGTGCCCGACTCGACCGCCACTCACCGCTAGGTCCTGGGGCACCGCCCCGCTCATGGCCCGCACCGTGCCGGCCCGCCAGGCTCGAGTGCGCAGCGCAGGCCCCGGATCTCCGCTTGCCGCCGCCGCCGCCGCCGTGGGGGCCGAGACCGAGGCTGAGGCCGCAGTGTCCGCGAACAGAAGCAGCAGCCGCTTGCCCACCGGGGAGGCCGCTGCGTCCGCCATCGCCGGGGCCGGCCTGACCCGCGCTCCCGCCCGCCGCCTCCCACCACCTCCGCCGCCAAGCGCCCGATCCGCCCGCAAGGCCTCCCTCCGCACCACCCGCGGCCGCCGTTCCCCCCCACCCCCCCCAACAGCCACCACCAACCACCGGCGCCGCGCAGCGCCCCCCGTGGCCGGGAGCGGAGCCGCAGCCCGGGCCCCGCACAGCGCCCCCCGCGCTCTGGAGCGGGGCGGCAGCTCCTGGCCCCTCGCAGCGCTCCGCCCCAATCTCCCCGGGGCCTGCAGTGCCCCCTGCGGTCGGGAGGGGAATTACAAGTTCGGCCGGGGTAGGGAAGTGGGCGGCTCCTTCAGATCCCCCATGGCACCATCCCTGGTCTCAGTCTTCCTTTAGGGAGTCGTATACCTGAGAGGGCCTTAGCTTGCTCTCCTCAGACACCAAAGACATTTACGGGGTAGGGGGTTGACGGGCAAGGGACCTTGACAGTGGATGTTCTGAGTTATTTAGTGTCGCTAATACCCCCACTGATTTCCTAACCTGAAAATATGAGCTGGCCTACCTGTTGTCTTGTAGGAAATGTTCTCCCCATTGGTTCGTGAAACACAATGTCTTCCTTCTCATTGGCCCATCGCATAGTAACATCCCATTCTGTCCTACCAGTACTTCTTAGGTTCCTTTCGAATTGGCCAATGTATTACTTCCACTGGATGTGTAATGGCACTCTTGCCACTGACTTAAGGCCAACGTGCCCCCCCCACCCCCCACCCCCCGCATCTTGGTGTTTTTCCTAAACCTAACTTCTTCCCTTCCTAGTCTGCCAATGTTAAGTCTGTGTTTCTCCATTCAACTCTTAGGGGAATTGGAACTAGACTAGCAGTAAAGGGGTTTCTCTTAGTAGCACCCCATCTTACCATGGAATTAGTGGGGCTGAGGGCAAAGAGAATTCTGTAACTCTTATCTGAATGCATTGAATACAGGTGTGGGAGACTGATAGCTCCTGATTAGAAAAGGAGCCTGTAGAGAAAGTGAGATGCTAAGATTTTTGGCTAGATTGTTACTCACAATAAGCAACAGGAAATTACCTCAGTCATTTAAAGTTGGCAATATCAGGGACCAGCACATTCCATGGTCTCATGGATGCAGAGACTGAGTATACACAAACCAGATACAAAAGATAAAGGGTCTAGTAATAACTCATGACTGTTGCTCTAAAAGTGACTTTTTTTTCATTCATTTTCCCTACAGAGAGGAGAGCGGTAGCTGGTTCTTTCTCCAAGGCTTCTGTCCCTTCCCAACTAACGCCTGTCCATAACCTTGTCTACACCCTTGACCTACTTTTCTTGTAGCAAAGGCTTGGGGAGAGGGGTAACCAACTATTGACTTTAGCAAAAGTACAAAACATATAGGGAAGTCATTCTAGAACTAACCCTGTGGAACACCAAGAAAACATTCCTCCCTCCATTCCTTTTAATTTCCATCTCTCACAGCCAATCTGAGGCCTGATTCAGAATGTTTTTCTGGGCTGAGAGCCACCTCTTAAAGCACATGGCCCATAAGCTATAGTTGATAGGAGGGGAACAAGGGTGAAGCCATACAAGACCTATCTGCCTTGCAACTTTTCTATCAAAATTAACTGCTGGGATTTTCTTCCATACAGAGATTTAACACTGCCCCAATGTCCAAGGGTGGTTTCTCACAGCAAAGAGAGAAATATACCTAAGCTCAGGACTAGGAAAGGCAAAAGGGAAATGCATTGAACAAATGTGGCCAGCACTTTTCATGTGCCAGGAACTTTCCAAAGTGTTGGGGACACAATATTGAACAAAAAAAAAAATCTTGTCCTCATGGAGTTTACATTCTTTCCTATATTAACAAGACTTCAGGAATGAAAAATGAAATCACACTTGGCTTCACAGGAAGTAAACAGCAGAAAAATTCACAAAAATTAAACTCAAAAGAAAAAAGGAGACAAAATCATTTGTAGGTGAAGTGAAACATCAGTTTTAAAGAAAAAAACTGTAATTTTAAGCTTCTTTAACCACATGCCACTGGCCCCACCTCCCTTCCTTTGTTTCCAGGACAATCCTCACTTTTTCTAGGGCGTATTTGCATCCCTGCAAAGATTCCTGCTCCAGGTAGTCAAATCAATGCTGTCCTCCTGCACATACTTCATTGGTATTCAATGATGAGTGCCACCAATTTGAAGCAGGAAACTAGGACATAGGCTAAGCAACTTGACTCTCCTTGCTGCCTGGCAAGTTAGCACCACAAATGGTAAAGAAAGGCTAAGCCTTAAGGACAGAGGCTTCTGCCTGGATCTCTAAGCAACTACACTTCACCCACACACATTGGAAGAATGTCAACATAGGGAGAATAAAGGGTGGAATAGAAAGGTCTAAAGAAAGAGAATGAGCCACATAGCTTCTTTCGGCAAATCAACACTCCAAATGGAAACATCATAGAAAATACTCTTCTACAACAAAAGAGAAGCTTTGCTGCTAGGATAGTTTTCCAAAAGCAACATTTTTAGGATGGAAAAATTGCCTAGGTCTTTGGAATCCGAATTCTGATGACTAAACCTCTATCTCTCCAGGACATAACATGTGAAAACTTAAGAAAGATCCCTGGCCCCATCTCCCACTCTGCCATCTCCCTACTTCCCAAAGCCTACAAACCAATCTATACAAGTTCCTGACTGCACCATAAAGCATTTCTCGGGGAGCTTGGAATGCATTAATACTGACTTCAACTTGCTGGAAGTGAGAGTGACAGCAGGCAGGAGGAGACAAGTCTAACTGCCAGGGAAAGAGACACCAAACCAGACTGTAAAAAATAACCAAGGCCTTAGCAGAAGCCTGGGCCACAGTATATCATCTCTCATGGAGGGCAAAGGGCCTAGAGTCCAAACACTGCCCCTTTTGAAAGGTTGACCCACATCTTAGAGGAAGGGGCTAGAACAGTTAGGTGGCTTTCTACCTTGCTTCTTCCTTGTCCTTCTTTGTGGGGAAGGGAAGAAGACACTGTAGTACACAAGGTTGCTTGGGAAAATGGATTATTCTAATAAAACTTTATTTCTTCAAACACAGCCACAGAGGCAGAACCTCATGTTTAACACACACAGACTTATGGATTTTTTTTTAATATAAAACAAAGTTTACGAAAAATTTTTCCACTTTTTGTATTTGTAATCCCATTAGCACAGGGACTTTGGCAGCAGGTGGGAGTGAAGGGCAGCTGGGCTGCCACTGGGCAGTCACTGGGCACAGGAGGAGAGCACCAGCCTGGGGAGTGGCTTCACTCACACACGCAGGTATACTCACCTACTGGCCAACCACACCACACACACAGCACAGATGCAGACATCTACCCAGTGTCAGCCACATGCCCTGGAGGTGTGCTCCACTCTGGGTAAGCCCAGTATGTGACAATCCAAATAGTCAAAACAGCTAAAGTGGAGGGAGGTTGCTTGCTTTACAAAAAGAAGCAATCATAGGCTGCTTTTAAATGGTCAGCAGTCCAAATGCATTGAAAAATAGCATTTGTTTTACACAGAACTGTTGAAACAGATCTACTGTGTAGAGCAACATAAACCACTTCTTGAAAATGCCTGTTCCAGGGCCACAGGTTCTTACATTGGGAAGCAAGATGATAGTTCTGACTAGCTTAGTTTTCCAGGCTAAAAGTAATGGAATTAAAATAATGAGAACTGTAGACCTTCTCCCCTTAGAATGGTGCCCTGGGGCTTTGGGGAAACCAGGATGGAGGCAGAATCACTGTCTCACTTCTTCAGCTTAGGGCCTGCAGAAACCTCATTGGCATTGCCAGTGACCTGTTGGAAGCTGGCATAGCCAATCTGCAGCAGAGAGCCCAGGGATGAGGATACCCTAGGAAGAAAAGAAGTTGGCACCAGGGAAATTATGGCCTGAAGAGGGAGAAGAGCCAGGGGAGGAATGAAACCATAGATCGGCAAGTCCTGGGCTCACAGTTCCCCTAGATTCTCCAGAGGGCCTCTCTCAGGCCCCTAGAGATCTGGTAGCCCAGTGGTAACTAGCCAGGAGATACAGAGGAGCCTCTGAGGGCCAAAGGCTTAAGAAGACATGGCCATCTCCTCTCTGGAGTAGAGACGAGGAGGCTGAAGCCTCACTGATGTTGACACACAGGAAACCCAGAAAATGTCAGGTTCAATTCCATGAGGAAGAAAACACAAAGACCTTGGTCTTCTTCCCTTACATGAGGAAGTGGGTCCTAGAAAACCCTGGAAATTGAAGAGAAAAATGTCCTTCTTGCCATAAACAAGAAGGGTAGGTCCAATTTGGTCATGCAGGGTCTAACCAAAACTGGACAAAACCTCACAAGCTATTGTAGTGGCAGCTTTAGTATGTGTTTCCACTGGTGCCAGCCCTACCACGGTACTTAAACCCATCACTGTGGCCACTGGGACCAGCGGTCCAGACTCAAGTTCCAGGTGAGAAACAAAAAAGTAAATGCAATCCAATGACAACCAAACTCCCAATTGCTTCTTACAGCCTTTGCTTTATACATCCTCAGCCAATCCCTCAGGGAGCCCCAACCTCCCTATGGTCTCTAAGGGCCAATTAGAGGCAAATAAACATTTCCTGGCAGGAGTGGAAGAAGAGCAAACTATTAAATGCTAAACACCCCTTCCTCTTTCTCAAGCAGGGTCTAACCAAAACTGGACAAAACGAAGAGGCTGGGCCTGGATCTTGTAAGAACTGGTTTCCTGCAGTCAGCTTCCCAATAGCAGTGCTGCGGTGAGCTCACCATGTCTGCTGAGGACTGAATGCCGCTTCTGCTGCAGGTCTGCCTCACTATGAGGACCAATATAGGGCCTTCCTACCTAGTCTATGACCTAAAAGGGCAGAGGGTAAGGGGAAAAGGGTCCCATCAGCAGAGAAGAGAGAGATGGAACCCCTAACCCTGCCTCAGTTGCTCATGTGCCATGTGCAACTCTACTCAAGAGGGCAAGAGAGGCAGCTGGTATAAAGCCTAGACAATCTGATGAGAAAAAAAGGCCAGCATGGAAAAAATACGGTGACACCCCCGCCATCTGCATTCCCCAATATACTAGATCGAGCTAGTGGGTGGGTGGGGCAGCTGAGGAAAAGATCATTAGCTGAAGTCATAGCACTTAACACACCCTGCTGTGCCCCAAAATGAAATCCTTTGCAGAGTTGGTGATGCTATGGATTACAAGCCTGTTCCAGAGCTATTTAGAAAAAGGGAAAACTTGGTGCCCACCTCTTAACTCCTTGAGCAAACCCACCATCCTGTAAAAAACTCAAGATCCTGGGGGTATCATGATACTCTGCTGTTAAGGAGCAACTGCCTTCCTTCCCTAAGGCTACGCAAACACACCTTTCCACAAGTACACTCCCATGCACGCACACACTCTCACACAGTTTCTCCGAGGAGGCTGACTCAACCCCCCACCCTGGCCAAATTCTAAGACACAAGTGCCCTTTGAAGCAAAGGGGCTAGTGAAATTCCCCGAGCTGGGGTCAGCAGACCCCTTCCTTCCCTGCCCATTGCTCTCCTTGTGGCAGGGATACTCACACTCAGGGCCGCCATGGGAAGGGTCTGCTCTGGGGCTGTCCCTCCCGCCACCAGCTCCGTTTATCTTGTCCCGGCCAGTCTCTTGGCATGGTCGAGCTTGCTGGAGCAAGAAGATTTCCGGCTGCCCTGAGTCGGAGCCCTCCACTCACCCCCATTCCCAGGCTAGGCCCCCAGCCTTGGGGCCTTGACACTTGTTAGTAGCCATAAGAGAGTCAGTCTGTGTGGCCCCAGGAAGCAGCCTCTCAGTTTTAGTTCTCCTCAATCAAATTCAAGTCCAGGTCCCCAAAGTCCTGCTGGCACAGTGTCCGCTTGCTCAGTGCCTGCCGACCCCACCGAACAGCCCCCTCCTCCTCCTCTTCGCTTTCACTCAGCACCTGGGAGGAACCCCCAATGGGGCTGCAGGAAGCAGAGAGGGGTTGGGGGCTACAGGCCATGAACCATGGTGGAGAGATGCTGCTGCCTTCCCGGGCTGTTTCTTGGAGACAGAGACCTCCTGAGTATGGTTTCTGTCAAACAAACAAAGAAGACAGTTACACCTGAAGGCAAGAATCCTAGGCTTTAGGGTGAGGTTTGTAAACTTTCTGACAGAATTTGGAGCCCACAGTTTCCATTAGATTTAGAGGCTTTTGCTCAAAGCAATAGGAAAAAACAAAAAAAGATTTAGAAGCTCTATGCAGGCGGGATCATCATCTGCATTGTACTACTCTGTACTGCCAGTGCCTTGTCAGAGTCAGTAAATGTTTGCAGATGGGATGGACAACTGTATGAAAAAGTGAATCTATTCTTAAACAGGTCTGTAACCCAGTGGTCTAGAAAGAATAATATGAAAAAAGTGAGCAAGTGCATACAATAACTGCACTCACACTAGGAAGTCAAAAAACATTTGTCTAACAGATGACTACACTGTAGCAGCCCAACTTGCTTCAGCCTTCAGACCCACTTTGAAGCAGTGACAGGCAAGTGGCAAAACCAGCTTTGGGCACAAGGAGTGGGCAATGATGATGGGATTTTTTGCAGCTTATGCATTCTTAAAAAGGAGGGAAAGTAGCACTTGCAGGACAATTTGGGATCCCTGTTGGAAGGTTTAACATGGGTCTCACCCCAGTTTCTCTAACTCCCAGGATTTTTAAGGCATTTCACAGGATGGGGGAACTTTTAGTGCTAAAACTGAGACAGTCTCAGGCAAGCTGGGATGGTACGTCACCCTAGCTAAGAGCTAAAGGAGGTGCTGCTGGTGGGTGGCAGGGGAGCAGGGGAATGAACCTAGGGGCTAGCTCAAAAGTGGGAACAGAACAGAGTCCCCACACTCCCATCCAAGTTCCCCTTGTCTTGCTGGTCCCACCTGATTCATCTTGTCAAAGTCCAAGGAAGGCCGCAGACGCCGGGGGTCCTCCTCGTGGCGCCGCTTGACCCCAGTTTTGCGGGCATCCAGATCACAAGGCTGTGAGCGGCTTCGGGGAAGGTTACGGAGACCTCGAGGTCGCCAGGGCAGCTCTGGGGAGGATGCGGGAGAGCTCCGGGCAGAAGGCAAGAAGCGGCTTGCCTGTGGGCCCAGGCTGGGTGACAGGGAGAAGCGGCGCTGAGGTGGGCAAGGTGACAAGGACTCAGCATCACTCTCCCAGGAGCCACTCTGAGGGGAGGCAGCGCAGGGTCGAGAGGAATCTTGGGCCAGGGCCAGGCTGAAGAAAGGAGGGCTGTAGGGTCTGTGGGCTGGGGCACATTGAGAAGAGGCACTGGGAGCTTGGAGGAACCTGAGGCTGGAGACCCGCTTTGGGGGGCTCTGGTGAGGCACCTGCGGCCCACCCCCTCCACCACTGCCCCGGTGCTTGATGGGAGTCCACAGCTTGGAGGGGGCGGGCCGCCACACCGGCTGCCAGCGAGACAGGTCCACGGGCACTGAGAGTGAGCGGCAGTGCCTCTTAGATGGAGGGGCAGGGGGCACAGGAAGCTTCTCTGGGTCTGGGGGCTCAGGGCTTAGGACTTGCGAGAGGGGCTGCTCCTTGGGGGAGCTTCCCCGACTGGGTGGTCTGAGGTGTAGGCTCAGGCCTGAGGGATGATAGCTGAAGTTGAGGCTGTCCTGGAACTCAGCACAGGAACAGTGGGGCAGGCCCCTCCAGGAAGCACCTTCTGGAAGGCATTCATAATAAAAATAGTATTAATGATAGCTTACATTTTTAAAGAACTTACCATGTGCCATACAATGTACAGAGCACTTTATGTGAAATTTTCCAAAAACCTCATGAGGTAGGTAGCATTATTATCATTATCCCCATTTCACAGATAAGAGAAATTCAGTAACTTCCCCAAAATCACACAGCAATCAAAAGACCAAAGGATTCAAATCCAGGTGTGTCTGATGCCAAGGCCAGGTTTCTAAATGACTATGTTATATTGCCTCCCTTGTGACAAACTACTTGGAATCAAAAACATTTCATCTACTGCCTGCCACTCCCTCTCAAAAGTAAAAGAAGTCAAGAGAAACAAACAGGTCAATGTGTGTCCCAGCTCATCCCTCCCCCAAACCCTCCCTCACTCTTGCCCTGGATGCTGAAAAGCAGGCCTACGCTCTCCTTCTTTGGCCTTTCCTCTTCTCATGTGTCAACAGCACCAAGTCAGGAGTTAGGGCTGCCAAGAAGTAAGAGGTAATCAGGCAGATAAGAGATCACTTTTATTCCTAGGGAGGGCAGACAGGGTGGGGAACGCCTTTGACAGTAAAATCCAGGCTTGAGAAACCCTAAGACTTTGTGCTGCTCATGTTCTTTTGTGTCTGGCTACCCGCATATTCCAAATCCCTTCCTCTAGGCCTTCCTTAAATCCAAAGAGATGGAGGGACCAAGGGAAGGAAGGGGAAATGGACTAAAAGAAAACGATTCTCATTCACTGTATTCCAATCAAAAATGTGACTTTTGAGAGATGGCTCATTAAGGGACTAAGGGCCTAGTCCAAACTCCTATGGCTAGCTGGTGGAATTCTGCAGGGTCTGGATATTTGGAGCAATTGACAAGCATATGAAGTCAGACTCAATGATGGCAAAATAAATACTGACTGTATTTAGTCAATAGTTCTTCCCCCTACTAACCTCTATGAGGGCAGGGACCACGAGTTCACGTTCTTTACTTAAAACACAATACCTGGTTTCCAGCAAGTCTTTAATAAACAGGAGGAAGAGACTGAATGAACATGTTTTTGCCAAAGCGCTTCCCTTGCTAGGTATCCCAACAGAAAATGAGATGCAGAACAGCTCAGCAGCATGAGTCAGAGAGTTCTGACTGTCCACTAGTGATGCCTCCATCTAAATGTCCCTATGATCAAGGGCCCTTTGACTGAGTAATTAATAATCTAGGAATTTATACTTCAGATATATTTTCACATGCGAAAAAATGACATATGTACAAGGTTGTTCTCTACAGTATTTCTCTCTCTCTCTCTCTCTTTTTTTCTGTTGCCCAAGCTGGAGTGTAGTGGGCACAATCTCGGCTCACTGCAACCTCCACCTCCCGGGTTCAAGCGATTCTCCTGCCTCAGCCTCCTGAGTAGCTGGGATTATAGGCACTTGCCACCATGCCCAGCTAACTTTTTTTTTAAGATGGAGTCTTGCACTGTCACCTGGGCTAGAGTACAATGGCACAATCTTGGCTCACTGCGATTTCTACCTCCTGGGGTTCAAGCTATTCTCCTGCCTTAGCCTCCTGAGTAGCTAGGATTACAGGTGCACACCAACACACCGGACTAATTTTTTTTGTTGTTTTAGTAGAGACGGGGTTTCACTATGTTGGCCAGACTGGTCTCGAACTCCTGACCTCGTGATCCACCCACCTTGGCCTCACAAAGTGCTGCGATTACAGGCATGAGCCACTGCACCTTGATAATTTTTGTATTTTTAGTAGAGACAGGGTTTCACTATGTTGGACAGGCTGATCTCAAACTTCTGGCCTCAAGTGATTTACCCACCTTGGCTCCCAAAGTGCTGGGATAACAGGCGTCAGCCGCCACGCCTGGTCCACTACAATTTTATGTATCTAAACAAGATTAGAAATAACCTAAATGTAAATCAATAGATTTGTTAAATAAGCCACTCTACAAGCACTTTAGGAGGCAGAGGCAGGCGCATCACCTGAGGTTGGGAGTTCAAGACCAGCCTGACCAACATGGAAAAACCCTGTCTCTACTAAAATTACAAAATTAGCCAGGTGTGTTGGCTCATGCCTATAATCCCAGCTGCTTAGGAGGCTGAGGCGGGAGAATTGCTTGAACCCAGGAGGTAGAGGTTGAGGTGAGCCAAGATCACGCCATTGTACTCCAGAGTGAAACTCCATCTCAAAAAAATAAAAAATAAGCCACTGTACATTGATACAGTGTAATAATATGAAGCTACAGATAATAAGGGAATGCTCAGCATTCTGATAGGGAAAGATCTCCTAGCTATATTAAAGTTTTTTGAGATGGAATCTCGCTGTTGCCCAGGATGGAATGCAGTGGCACAATCTCAGCTCACCACAACCTCTGCCTCCCGAGTTCCAGTGATTCTCTTGCCTCAGTCTCCCAAGTAGCTGGGACTACTAGCACATGTCACCATGCCTGGCTAATTTTTGTATTTTTAGTATAGATGGCATTTCACTATGTTGGCTAGGCTGGTCTCAAAGTCCTGACTTTGTGATCCAACTGCTGGGATTACAGGCATGAGCCACTGCACCCGGCCAGTTTCTTTTTTTAAAAAAGGTACAAAATAATATATAATATGCAACCTTTTGTGTTAAAAATGTGGAAATAAAATAGGTGCAGCAAACCACCATGGCACATGTATATCTATGTAACAAACCTGCATGTTCTGCACATGTATCCCAGAACTTAAAGTAAAAAAAAAAAAAAAAAAAAAAGGAAATATATAATTTGCTTCTTTTTATATAAAAAAATTCCAGTCACATATACTGTAAAGAAACTAATACTTTTAGAGAGGTAGCAGAAGCTGGGTAGATAGGGAACAGGAGAGTAAGAGAGATTTTTCTCAGCATAACCTTTTTGTTATTTTTTAAATTCTGAACCATGTGAATGTATTAGCTATTAAAAAAATTAGACTATACAAGTCCCCACAGAATAAGAGCAAACTAACCAGATAACTTTCATGCTAGAACATGAAAGACTACCAATCTCAGAAGTTGACCCTGACAAGAAAGTTCTAGGGCTAGGCTTGCCAACCCTGGTCACTGGAAACCAATGATAGAAATGTGTGGAGACGGGCATGGGTATACACAAACACACACGATGCCTTACCAGACACAAGCTGGAAAGGGTTCCCACAGTTGGAGATGTCTGCATGATCAGGCAAAGGCTAAGAAAGAGAGAATATCCATCATGATTTGGATTCAGGACACACCGACAGATTTCTAGGAAGCCCTCTTCAGTTCTCCTCTGCAATTCATGAGCTATAGGGATGTTAGGGACATTAAGCGTTCTTCCTTTTGTCTTCCCAAAGTTAGTAAGTCAAACAGTCCACATCCTCCAACATCTCAAACCCTTCTCCACCCAGGTTTTGCTGTCCCTTCTCTAAAGGTGGAAAAATCCCTGCCCCCTTCCTTTTGGGCTGGGTTTTGAGCCGTTAGTGGGCTCTTCCAGGTTAAGTATCATGATTCATACAGCACAGGACAAGAGTAAAGTAGTAGCAACAATCAGCCTCAGAAAAAAGGGGGAGGGGGTCGTGAAGAAGCAGGAAGACTGGTCTTTTACCAGACTGATGCTGAAGCGTGTGCATTTCAGCTCATCCAGAGTCTGCTTCTGTAGCTGCTCAGTGATCAGGGTTATCATGATTCTCCCCAGGATTTGACTTGCACACTTTGGAGCAAATGATGGATGTCTTCCCTGTTGTTCTTCCAGACCTCACTCGTGAGCCGTCTTCTGCCACTGCAGCACCATTCTAGCACCATTGGGACTTCCCTCTCCAGTCATGCCTGCTGAGTCTGCCAATTAGAGGGACCAGCCCCAAGTGATATTAGAGATGCACCTGGTCCAGAGATGGAAAATGCATGGCACACATACCACAGCACCCCTAAGCCAGGCCTCTGGCAGACATCAATTGCCCACAGCTCTTTCCTGCTAAGCCTAAACATAGCTTCAGAAACTATGAACTTGGCAGTCTAGATATGAAATAAAATAGAGTTGGCAATCAAGTTGAAACTTATTTGCCACTCTTAACCTGGCTCTGTTGTTTCTAACTGGAATACCAGCACCACTTAGAAAACAGCTGCTCAAGTGAGAGAGAGGGATGCCCAAATGATTATTTCCATCAAGATTAGCCCAGTATTTTATCTTCCAGTCAGAAGTGAAAAGAGATACCCTTCTCCTAAACTACAGAAATAGTAATAAGAGAACAAGGAGGAACAGTGGTTGTAGGCATGACTTTCTGCTTTGGACCAGAGTACATAGGATTTTATGTCCTCCCACAGCCTAAATATCTGATATAGTATTGTTTTCCCATAGATACTGTGTATGTTTTCTTTTTTTTTTTTTTTGAGACGGAGTTTAGCTGTTGCTACCCAGGCTGGAGTGCAATGGCACAATCTTGGCTCACCGTAACCTCCGCCTCCTGGGTTCAAGTAATTCTCCCACCTCAGCCTCCCAAGTAGCTGGGACTACTGGCGCGTGCCACCATGCCCAGCTAATTTTTGTATTTTTAGTAGAGATGGGGTTTCACCTTGTTGACCAGGATGGTCTCGATCTCTTGACCTCGTGATCCACCCACCTCAGCCTCCCAAAGTGCTGGGATTATAGGTGTGAGCCACCGCCCTGGCCCACTGTGTATGTTTTCTTATCAAATAGGAAGAGGATAAGGAAATGATCAGGGTAATTCCAATACATTTCAATTCCACAGACATTACAAACAACTACATGACTTTATTCGACTAAGTTTTTTGCCTGATCTGATGCAAAGACCATGGATACAGTTAAGCAAGATTCTTTCTCATGGTCAATTTCTGACAGAAGCAAACTAACTCCATCAGAGAACAGGCTTCAAGCCCACATAATTACCCAAGGCGCCTTGCTCAAGGGAAAAGGGGAGGTTAAGCCAGTCTTGATTTTGTTCTGTCTATTCCCAGAAATGACCAGCAGGCTGACAGATTACCAGAGACTGTATGCAGCATTAGCTAGTCAAAAGAACAAATGATCAAGAAATCTAATTATTAAATCTAATTTTCTGAGAGTTTTGGCAAATCATTTAATACTCCTTGGCCTCAGTTTACCCATATGTAAAGTAGGTAGAATAATCTAAACCTGTCACAGGAACAACATAACATACTAAAATGTACAAAAGGTACCACCTGGCCTGTAAAAATCAGGAGTCCACATAGACTACCATTTCTCATTTCTGTTTGTGAATCTTCAAGACCTCAGAATGTCAGAAGTAATGATATCAGTAAGATGAAGAAGGCAACAGGGTCTATCTCTGGCTGAATACCATCCTCCCTCACCTGCACACTAAAAAAAAGCCCAAGAAGGCTCTTCCTTCTGTGACCTTGGGGGCAGACCACTGTACAATAAAGAGGAAATCATCTCTAACCCATTCACACCTCAGAAGGAGGCCACAAGGAAGAGCAAAGAAATGAATCTGGATGTACTTGGAGTTCTTTGGAAGAAAGGTGCAAGAGAAGTCAATCATCATTAGAGTTAACTACCATTTTCATGCATAATTATTACCACCCTGAACAAAATTCTAGCTTCCGGGGAGCTCCCTTCAGCTGCTTCCCCTATGTTCTCATGGGAGAAGCTAAAGCTTATATCACTTTTGCTCTTGGTTTCTTAACTCTGCCTTCAAAGATCAACCAGAGAGGAAACCTAAGTGCAGGATTTTACCCTAGAGACCCCAGGCCTCAGGCTCACCAGCTAGGAGGAACAGGGTAGTGAAACAAACTCTCTAGCTTTTCGAAAGATATTTGGACAACAGCAAACTCCCAATCATCTCTAGGATAGGTGAATAGAGTGAATTTGTGTTTTTCTGCATTTTAATTGTTGGGATGTGGCCACACACAGCGGTAATTGGAACAATGCAACTACCACCACGCAACTGATACTCTCAGCCTGAGTTTCCTAAAACAGGCCAGGCTGAGAGGGGGAACAGAACGGAAGCCATAAGGAATCAAACCAGGACACAAAAGAAGGCAAACCAGCTCCGCGAGGGGCCTCCTCTTTCTCAAGCAGGCATTGAAAAAAGTGTAAGAAGCCCGATCTTGCTGCCTTCCTTCCCCTTCCATTTTGTGTATCTGAAGGGTAGAGACAGCCCTGAACGTTCACTAAACAAGTTAAAACTTCTCAGTTTAACAACTGGCACAAGGGCTTAGCCCTTCACAGAGCAGCAGGCCGCTAGGCCCTCTCAGCAACCCCACCAGGCCTAACCCTCAGTCCAGGCTTTTCCTCCACCATCAGCCCCCTAAAATAAAGATCGGACCCCCACCCCATCTGCTACTGGATGGCAGTAACCCCTGACACTCCTGTTTCAGGGATGCGGAGGTTGTGCTGAACCTAGACAAGGTAGAATCAAGTCAGGCCAAGAGGGAGGAGAGTCACAAATCCCTTGGGGACCTTCCCCCAGGTCCCAGCCCTACACCTCTTGGGGAGACTGAAGGAAAACATGAGGAAGGCAGGGAGGTGCACGAACAGGTAAGTGGAGACCTTCCGCCTCTTCTTCCATATGGTTCTGGTGGGAATAGTGGTGACAAGTGGGAAACACCCCTCCCCCACCCCCATGAAGAAGCAAAAGGCTAGGCCCCTTCAATCTTCAAGCTATCCCTCTGTTGCCCTGCCTGTCCCCGCGGGGTGGGGCATGGGGCGTCCGCTGGTCCGCGGCGGGGGGGGGGTCGCCAGGGCTTGCTCAGGGGGGCTGGCGTTTGCCTCTTCCCACTAGGTTCCATCATCTGGCCGCGGGAAGCGAACTCCCGACGCAAGGGATGGGGAGGGTCTGGGACTTAGCACTCCGCCACCCCCTCCCCCACCGGGTCCCGTGCTCTCCCCGCGGAGGCGGCCTGCGAGGCCCGGCCGCACAGGCGGCAGGACTGGGGGAGGGGAAAGAGGGAAGGAGGGAGGGACAGTTGAGGTGCCCGCCCCGAGGCCCCAGCGCCACCTGCCCTCTGCCACCTACCGCAGCTCCTCCAGCTCCCAGGGCCACGGCCGGAGCAGCTCTGAGCGCTCCGTTCGCCCCACGGTGCCCTTAAAAGGCGCTGGCGCGAACCAACGAGTCCCTGAGGAGAGTAGGGGGACAGCTCCGGCTAGCAGAATCCCCTCGAGCCACCCGCGGAGGCCGCAGCCCCGTGTGGTGTCTCTGTCAACGTCTTTCTCAGATAGCGCTGTCGGGAAGTAGCCTGACGCTTTGATTTAGGGATGGGGGTGGTTTCCTCACTAACGAGTCACCCCTTCAAAATCTCTCAGAAAGTGGACGGTCCCAGTCGGAGGCACATCTTGAAACCCGCGGGGGAGGCCCCGTCGGAAGAAGGTAAACAAAGGCATCGCCCCTGGCCTCCCTCCCTCCGTCGGCCCAACTACAGCCTCCCACGCGGTTCTGGCCGCGTCACGCAATTAGCCACAGTGCCCCATCACCTGCTCTGCTGCTCCGCCCTCCACGGCCACCTCTTCGAAGGAATTCCCCCTTCCCCCTGCAAAGGACCTGTCCGCCGCGTGAAGGCTGCTGGGAAGTGTGGTCCAAGCGCCGATCAGGGCCTGCTCTGAGTCCCAGGAGCCCCTCTTGCAGCTGCCGGATCGGCATGAATCTTAAAAACCCAGGACTTACAATGGTTGCGGGGCCGTTTCCACTCGGTTTTGTAATTTGCCCTCACCCAGAACACTTTGTAAAGCTCAGGATAGCCCAAGGCTGTTCACTCCCTATCCTCCCTCTCCGCCCCCCCCCCAGCAGGATGAGGTAATGGGATTGTGATTATGACATCATAGGCGGTTCAGTTGCTTGCGTTGGGTGGGGGGAGGTGCGGGGAGGTGGGGAGAAGTACGGTGGTTACACTTTCGTTAAACAGAAAGGGAGGGAGGAAACAGGCAGATGGTGAAAAGATGTGACGGCCCTACATTTCCACTTCAGGAAGACAAAACCACCTTTTATTAAGTCTCCACCACTACCACCACTTCCCACATGAGCCAAAGTTTAAGTCTTTTTTAGAGACTGAATGTAGACGTTAGTGTGTGAAGAGGTTGGGTTGATGGTTTCTGGCTCTTATGTAAATTTGAGTCTCAGCCTCACAGATGGTTCAGGGAGACAAGCAAAAAAGTGGATGAAGAAGAGGCTTTAAACAATGCCTTCGTGTTGTGATCTCTTTGTAATGCAAAGTTTTCGATTTTTTTTCAATTGATTGGAAAGTAGCAGTAATGCAAGTAATCTTCACTATTACACTTAGCAGAAAGTCCTCTGAAAGACATCTGTTCTCTGTAAATATTTTGTGCCTTACTCATGACTGGGACAGGTAAATAGCTGTGATCAGCTGGAAAGTAGAGCCAATGGTGGGGATCTTCCTCACAGAGCCAGGTAGATGAGGAAGCAGGAGCCACAAAGTCTGCAAACTGAAAAAGAGTAGAGGAAAAGTGAGGTACAATAATAACTGAGAAAATAGGGGTAGAGAGATTTACCTTGCACTGCCTATTTCCCCTTGGCAAAAGGAGCAGAGGCAGGCACCATGAAGTGTGGGACACATAGTTTCTAATAATTGCACTTATGTGCCAGACACCATGCTTTTTTTTTTTTTTGCAGAAACAGGGTTTTGCTCTGTTGCTCAGGCTGGAATGCAGTGAGACCATCATAGCTAACTGCAGCTTGAACTTCTGGGCTCAAGCAGTCCTTCCCATCTCAGCCTCCTGAGTAGTTAGAACTACAGGGGTGTGCCACCATGCCCAGCATATTTATTTCTATTTTTGTAGAGAGAGGGTCCTTGCTATGTTGCCCAGGGTAGTCTGAAACTTCTGGCCTCAAATGATCTTCCCAGCTTGGCCTCACAAAGTGCTCAAATGGCCAGGCATGATGACTCACACCTGTAATCCCAGCACTTTGGGAAGCAAGGCAGACAGATCATTTGAGGTCAGGTGTTCCAGATCAGCCTGGCCAACATGGTGAAACCCCATCTCTACTAAAAAATACAAAAATTAGCTGGGCGTGGTGGTGCCCACATGTAATCCCAGCTACTCCGGAGGCTGAGGCAGGAGAATCGCTTGAACCCAGGAGGCAGAGGTTGCAGTGAGCTGAGATCATGCCACTGTACTTCAGCCTGGGCCACAAACAAAACAAAAGAACAAAAAAAAAAAAAAAGTGCTGGGATTCCAGGTGTGAACCACCATACCTGGCCTACATACTTTGATGTATATTCTCATTTTTTTTTACAGTCATCCAATGAAACAAAACTTTCTCTTTGACAAAGGAAACAGCCCAGGAGATTAAGTGACTGCCCACGTGGTAGGTAGAGGTAGTATCAAAAAGCAGTCTAAAAGAGATTCAAAAAGCCCTTGCTTTTCACTGCTAAGCTCTTCCCCTTTTTATTATTAACCAAGCTTACTAATTACATGATTGAGTTGAAAGTAGGCATTGGCTCATTTGCAAAACATTGAAAGAAACTGAGACAAAAAAAAAAAAACAAAAAACCCTGCAAGTTTCAAGCCTCATTTCAAAGGAAGGTTACATCCCCTTTCATCATCTATTAAATAGCCTCCCAGTGCAGCCTAACACTCCTACCCATAATGAAATCTCCTTATTCCACTTTTAATTCCCAACGATTTTTTTACTCATGTCCTGCTCTTCTTCCCTGCTGCCCCCTGTGTATTATTTTGTTCTTGAGCCACTGTTTTGAACAGCATCTTAATTGTGCCCTCATGGGCCAAACCCCATCTCTGACCCTGCCCCAATGGGTTTCAGCAGAGGATACTTTCCATCCATATTCTGAGGATTCCAGGGCCTGGAGCCGGTCATCCAGGAGGTCATCCAAAGGAGTGGAAACCATTGGCTCTAAGAGACTCTCCATTCCCTGCCTAGGAAGGAACAGCTGAGTCAGAGGAACATGCATTCAATTCAGACCCTCCCTTTTCATCCAGTGAAAGCTAAATCTCTGCAAAGTGGGGAGAAGTAGGGCTAAGCCTACCAGTCATGAAAAGAAAAAGGAATAGAAAACACACTCCTCAGCTCCTCTGCCCTGCAGAGGCTGACTGGGAGGGTCCCAGAAATGTAGGGCTCTTCTCCACTGCCTGATCTGGGTATCCCAGGAGCAACCGCTGTACCGCGGGTTCTTATTTGGTGTTTCAGGGTGAAGCCCAGGCTGCCGCTGTGCCCTGGCAACAACAAATATGGGTCAGATTGAGGTCAAGGTGAAGGAACACAGCTCACTGCTTATCACAGTGAATCAGGAGCCTAGATAGGGATTCCCCAAGGATGACATAGGATCAATGCCCTCAATCCAACAGAAAAAGTAAATCTTCAAATCAGATTAAACACCAAACTTCCCACCTCCCTAATATTCTTTCTTCTGGGAAGGATAAATTAGATATATTCCAACACCTTCAGAAATCAAGATATAAAAGACAATATTTGACTTACCTTTAAAATAATTCTACTCTTTCACAGTTTGTATGTATGTATGTAAATGTACATGTAATTAGCTAAGTATGTTGCAATTAGCTAAGCCAGCTGGAGTCACGATGAGATAGTAAAAATGTTTGGTAGGAAGCCCATTCAAAAGTGGGCAAAGGATATGAACAGACACTTTACGAAAGAAGACATATATGAGGCCAACAATCATATGAAAAAATGCTCATCGTCACTGGTCATCAGAGAGATGCAAATCAAAACCACATTGAGATACCATCTCACGCCAGTTAGAATGGCGATCATTAAAAAATCTGGAGACAACAGATGCTGGAGAGGATGTGGAGAAAAAGGAACACTTTTACACTGTTGGTGGGAGTGTAAATTAGTTCAACCATTGTGGAAGACAGTGTGGCGATTCCTCAAGGCCTTAGAAATAGAAATTCCATTTGACCCAGCAATACCATTACTGGGTATATATCCAAAGGACTATAAATCGTTCTACTATAAGGACACATGCACACGAATGTTCATTGCAGCACTGTTTACAATAGCAAAGACCTGGAATCAACCCAAATGCCCATTGACGATAGACTGGATTGGAAAAATGTGGCACATATACACCATGGAATATTATGCAGCAATCAGAAATGATGAGTTTGTGTCGTTTGTAGGGACATGGATGAATCTGGAGAACATCATTTTCAGCAAACTGACACAAGAACAGAAAATGAAACACCGCATATTCTCACTCATAGGCGGGTGATGAAAAATGAGAACACATGGACACAGGGAGGGGAGTACTAAACACTGGGGTCTATTGGGGGGAAAAGGGGAGGGACAGTGGGAGGGGGAGGTGGGGAGGGATAGCCTGGGGAGAAATGCCAAATGTGGGTGAAGGGGAGAAAGGAAGCAAAACACACTGCCATGTGTGTACCTACGCAACTGTCATGCATGTTCTGCTCATGTACCCCAAAACCTAAAATGCAATAAAAAATTTAAAAAAAAAATGTTTGGTAGGAGAACAATCTCACTGGGTGCAGTGGCTCATGCCTGTAATCCCTGGACTTTGGGAGGCCAAGGTAGGCAGATCATGAGTTCAGGAGATTGGGACCAACCTGGCAAACACAGTGAAACCCCGTCTCTACTAAAAATACAAAAAATTAGCCAGGTGTGGTGGCACATGCCTGTATTCCCAGCTACTTGGGAGGATGAGGAAGGAGAATCACTTGAACCCAGGAGGCAGAGGTTGCCCTGAGCCGAGATCACACCACTGCACTCCAGCCTGTGTGACAGAACAAAACTCTGTCTCAAAAAAATAACAAAAAACAATTTCATTAGGAAACATAGAGCTTTTAAGAGTATTGCTGTTGTTGCTGTTGTTTTTGGAGACAGCGTCTATGTTGCCCAGGCTGGCCTCAAACAATTCTCCCAAGTAGCTGGGACTACAGGTGCACCCTTGCATCTGTAAAAAGTCTTAAGGGCGGTCAGACACTGTGGCTCTTGCCTGTAATCTCAGCACTTTGGGAGGCCAAGGTGGGTGGTTCATTTGAGTTCGAGACCAGCCTGGCCAATATGGTAAAACCCCACCTCTACTAAAAATACAAAAATCAGCCATTCACGGTGGCAGACACCTGAAGTCTCAGCTACTTGGGAGGCTGAGGCAGGAGAATTGCTTGAACCTGGGAGCTGGAGGTTGCAGTGAGCAGAGATTGCACCACTGCACTCCAGCTTAGGCAACAGAGCAAGACTCTGTCTCAAATAAAAAAAAAAAGTCTTAAGGGCTAGGTGTATAATTTCCATTTGAAAAAAATCTCAGAAACATTTGTGGGACTAGATTTTTAGAGAATTTCTTTCAGGAATGCTGCAACTTTGTCAGAGCACTCAGATTCTAGTATATTTCCATCACCTGAACATTGAATGAAAGCCACTTTGGTTGACACCTTTGTTGTGACCATCCGTAACTGCACTCACTTGGGGACCTGCTGCAGAAAGCACTGGCAGCTAGGTGTACACTTGCCATAATCTATCTGCTTTTGCTGCCACTGGAGAATAACTTCATCTGTCTCTACTTCCCACCTGCAGGGAAGTATACAGTTTTCCACAAAGTGTGATTATATTGTAGTCATCAAAGCAGATATCAACTCACCCCACACTCCCTTAATCCCCGGCCTGATTTTCAAACTCAGCTGGCAAGCCAAGGTTCTGTGCTAACTCTTACCACACTCACTGTCTGCATCCTAGAGGACAAAGACTCACACATCTCCTTTCTGGGGAAGCAGGTTCTACAGATGAAAAGGGAATTAGGATAAAAGCCAGCTGACTACACTGTGCCTCTCAGCCACTACCAGCACCAAGATACTGACATCAGACAAAAGTTGCACTTTTGACTTTTGTTTCTCAAAGTGTGATCTCCAAGTTGTCTACATAGGTAGCACCTGGGGGCCTTGATAATGACCCCACTTTAGACCTATTGAATGATGGTTTTTGGAGCCTACATCTTAAAGAGCTTCCAAGGTTATTTTTGGAAGATTTTTATTATGGAAATTTTTAAATATACACTGAAGTAAGGAGTATTAGATAATATCTTACTACTCAAAGTGTGGTCCTAGGACCAGCTACCTCACCATCAGCAGGGGGCTGGTTAAAATGGAAGAATCACCAGGCGCGATGGCTCAAGCCTGTAATCCCAGCACTTTGGGAGGCCAAGGCAGGTGGATCACGAGG